ATCTATCCACCCAATTATCCATCCACCCAACCATTCATCCACCTATCCATTCAACCACTCATCCATCTAATCATACATTCATATATTCAATATTTACTATACATTACACACTGAGGATACAGTGTTGAAAAGAGAAAAGCCTTGGGGCGCCTGGGTGGCTTAGTCGGTTAAGCATCCGACTTTCGCTCAGGTCATGATCTCACGGTTCGTGGGTTTGAGCCCCGCGTCGGGCTCTGTGCTGACTGCCAGCTCGGAGCCTGGAGCCTGTTTCAGTCTGTGACTCCCTCTCTCTCTGACCCTCCCCTGCTCGCACTGTCTCTCTCTCTCTCCTAGAAATAAATAAAATATTAAAAAAAAAAAAAGAAAAGAAAAGAGAAAAGCCTCAGTCTTCATTATCCTCCAGTGGAGGGAATGGTCATCAATCCATGCTGATGGTAACTGTGACAACGGCCATCACTAGGTGGGCCTGTGAAAGAAGATCTGATCCCACAGGCCAGGGAGGCTTTGTTGACACATGATGAGTGGAAATGAGACCTGCTGGGGAAGAGCAGGAGGGCTCTGGGCTCCAGGCAGATGCATGGATGGGGAGCTCCAAGGGGGATGAGACAGGAAAGGCAGGCTGGGGCCCCGGCTGATTGCAAAGTGAAGCCACTGGAGAGTCTTCCCACAAGGCTGATGGGATCAGGCTTTTATTTCTAAGCCATCGCTCTGGCTGCAGAATGGAAGACAGAGTCCTGCAGCCAGAGTGAACGGGAGAAGGGGCTACGGTGCCCATCCAGAAGAGGGGAGGCCAGAAGTACAGGGAAGAAGGAGGCAGGCCCTGGAGCCAGGCAGTGTGGGGCTTGATCTCGCTTTGCATCAGGAGCTCTGAGACCATAAGTCCAGTCCTAAACCTCTCTGGGAATATTTCTACACGTGGGCAATAAGGGCCATCCAGTCTGCAGGGCTACTGAGTGCATTCAACACGATCATAAAGGAAAAGTGCTTAGTGTGGGCCTGGCCTTAATAAATGCTCAGTCTGTGGCAACTCTCCATCGTGACGATTTTGCTTTATCATTTTCCTGGTTGCCTTCAAGCAGTTCAGGAGCCATGCTTGTTTTTCCTCAACTGGTCTCCTTCTCTGAACATTCCTGGGTGGCTCAAGTGTATGTCTTCAGAACCGGGTATTTATGATTGTCTCCAGCCAGGGCAGTGGGGACGGCCTTTGCTGCATCTCTGTTGTCTGCTCAGAACTTTGCTGCAGCCAATCACCTCTCCTCCCAGCTTGCCTTACCCCACACTCCACTCTTGGTTATGTTGGGGGCCTCTGGTCTGCACTAAGGGGACTGGTACAGCCTCACCCTGCAACATCATTTCAACGCCAGCACCCCCTTCAGGCAGAAAACCCTCCATGGAGACATATATGCTGCCCAGCCCACAAGAGCCCGCCTTAACATTCTGAGCTGAATCTCCATCCCACACATTTTGATACAATCTTGAAGCACAAAAGGACATTATGTAACTTTCAGTTAGTGCAGAGCCCTCACAGATCGCTTCTCAGAATTTTTCCTGCCCTTGGGCAAATCTGCTTCTGACAAGTGGCTTTAATCTGGTTTTAAAAATTGCTTCGGATGGAGAATCAAAGAAATTGCTGGTGCTCAGCTTATGCTAAATAAGCCAAGCAGGGCTCGTATTATGGGGCGAGTCATGTGCCCCACGCTCAGTGGAAATTTGCCCCCGTGGTTGTCTGATAAGACCCACAGGTTTTCAAGGTGCCCAAACTGAGGGAATCTATCATCTTGTCCATCAGTCCACATGATGGGAAGCCACACACTCCCTCTAAGGGGGCAGCTCCTGTCAGAGGCAGGTACCAGGAAGTGGTTTTATTTGTGTCATTACCCATGTGGAGGGGGCCGTGTTCTGTCCTTCTGGAGCGAGCAGCCCTGGGGAGGAGAGCTTCATTTCTGAATTACACACCACTGATCTTGTTAACTTCTAAATGGTGAGACCTCTAGTTAATGGGTGGGACCCAAAATGTAAAGCGCTCATTAAAAGGAAGGCAGCCAGATGCGGAGTGCAGAGTTGTTGATTCTAGAACAATCCATGAGCCAACGGCTCTGTGGCTTCCCGAGGTGGTTCCCCACATGGTAATCAGCGCTGGGCCAGGGCTTTCTGGGTGCAGCTGTTGAGTGGCCAGCTGAGGATTCCAGGGATTCATATAACTCACCCTCTGAGCATTCTCTTTTTGCCCTTACCAGCTCTGAAGGGGTCTGAAAATACGAATCTGGTTGAGACGGTAGCCAACTCTTTCTTGGGCCCATCTTAAATATTTTCAGTACATCATTCCTGCATCCTATGTGCAGGAACAGGCATGAAATAAGGGTTAGTGGTGTTGTGACACTGTGTACACATCCCCTTCGAAGAGGTTGAGCACATTTCATAGGTGAGGGGCCTGGAGGGGCTGGAATGGAGTCAGGGGAACAGACTAAGGGCACTAACAGCAGCTACTGGTCGATCACAGTTCCGGAGGCTGGACGTCCAACATGAAGGTGCCGGCAGATTCCATCTGGTGAGATCCTGCTTCCTGGCTCATAGACGGGTATCTTTTCACTGAGTCCTCGCAGGGCAGAATGGACAAGGGAGCTCTTTGGGGACTCATTTATAAGGCCACTAATCCTGCTCCTGGGAGCTCCATCTTCAGGACCAAGTGACTCCCAAATGCCCCACCTCCCAATGCCATCACCTTGGGGATCAGGTTTCAACATATGAAGTGGGGAGGGCGGGACACAAACATTCAGGTTCCCTTTGGGGAGGTTTTTATTCTCGGAGGCAGCATACATTGCTTCCCCAATCTCCTTTGGGAAAATTTGAAGCCTCAAAATGCTGCAAGGATGGCACAATAAACACCCATATTCCTGTTGTATCCGTCTGCTCACACTGCCATGGACTGCTCACACTGTAAGAGCAGAAATTTACTTTCTCACGGTTCTCCAAGCTGGGGTTCCAAGGTCAGGGGTGGTTTCTGAGGAGACCTGTCTTCTCGGCCTGCAGATGGTGGCTTTGTGGTGTGTCCACTCATGGCCGTTTCTCTGTGTGAGCACACTCCTGCTGTCTCTTCCTCTTCTGATAAGAACACCACTTACATTGGCTTAGGACTCAACTTGTCTGACTTTATTTAACCTGAATTACCTCCTTAAAGGCCCTATCTCCAAATACAGTCACACTGGGGGTTAGGGCTTCAATATATGGATTTTAGGAGGACAGGATTCAATTTCAAATTTTAACAGGAATGTCTCCCACCTTGCCCCTGTGTGCATCCCTGATGAGTGAGTGAATATTCCCTGCCTGCATTGGAAAGCTGGAATTCTGGAAGTGAACGTGTAGAGTAGAATCTTTCCTCCGGTCACATTCAGAGCACTGTGGGCGTGTGAGGGGTGCCTGGGTGGCTCAAAGCCTCTGACTTTGGCTGAGTTCATGATCTCACAGCTGATGAGTTCAAGCCCCATGTCAAGCTCTCCACTGTCAGCACAGAGCCTGCTTCAGATCCTCTTTCCTACTCTCTCTACTCCTCCTCTGCTTGGATACATGCGTGCTGTCTCTCTCTCTCTCTCTCTCAAAAATAAGATAAACAGTAAAAGAAAAAAAAAAGCACTGTGGATGTGTGAATACTTGAATATGTATGTATGTAAAACTTACAAGACCACTTCATAGATTTTTCTCCCTATAATAATTTTAAAGAGCGTGGGGAAAGTCCTAGAAAAACAATACTTCTATTAACCTTGTATTGAGCAATTTCTCTTGGCAGTGAAAGGTATATGATCATAAGAAGTATATAGAATCACAGCTATGTCAGAATAAGAAAATTGCATCCTTTAAAAGATCGTGTAGGAAGAAAAGGAAATTCACGAGAACACTTCAAGTATCAAGCATGTGGGTGACATTTTTCCTACTTTTTCAAATTTTTGTATTGGCCATGTATTATTTTAAAATTTTTTAAATGCACTTAATAAAAACCATGGAGACTTAAAAAGCTCAGTCCGGATATGGCATGTGATGAACTATTCTTCAGTAACTGGATACCTACAGCAAATCCATCATTCTGAGCCGCGTTCCCCCAAGTTGCCAGGTTTCATGGTTTTGCTTCCCATGCTGTCCAGCGAAGTAAGTTCAAGTTAGGGCAAACATGGGCATGAAGGTAATTCAGCTCCTGAGAATTTTACATATAGGTCACATGCAGGATTTCCAGACCTAAACAGACTTGAGTTTCAGATTATGCCACTCACAGTACCACATGTTGAATTTAAGAATCGAGTCAACTATTATCAAGAATAGCCCTTTATTTCTTTTTTAAAAAGTTTGTTTACTTATTTATTTAAAGAGAGTGCAAGTGGGGGAGAGGCAGAGAGAGAGGGAAGGAGAGAGAATCCCAAGCGGGCTCCGTGCCGTCAGCGTGGAGCCCGACTCAGGGCTTGATCTCACAGATCGTGAGATCGTGACCTGAGCCAAAATCAAGTCAGACGCTTAACCAACTGAGCCACTCAGGTGACCCAAGAATAGCTCTTTATTTCAAAGCGTGGCTTTGCCCTCTTGTGGCTTTTTTCTGAACATCTAAGGGTCCATGTATGTACTTAGGGCTTCCTTGTAAGTTACACGGAACTGGCTCAAACCCTCTATTATGGTTTATAACTATTGAAATCTTTCTCATTCTCCTGCATTTTGGACTATTGGGAATTTGTTTCCATATTTCTCTGTTCACAACCGAGCAACATGGAAAGCTCCAAGCTGAATTTGTGTGATACCCCTGCATTGATTTTTGGAGAAAGTAAAGGCTTGTGTGATGGTTATGGGAGGGGGGGATTTGGGGGGTGTGGTCTCTTCACAGAGAGGAATGAGCTGCATGGGGATGGTGTGTTTTGTGGTCTTAAGCAGGAGAAAAGGTGGGGGTGATTCTGCATGTGATGTGGCTCTGGCTTCACATTCATGAGAATGAATGAAACACCAAATGTTTTCATTGTTGGCAGTGCCGGGCACCGAGGCTCCCGCCCCACTTCTGAAGGCGCTGCCAGCCTGGATCCGTGCTTCGTGTTCCCAGAGGTGACAGAGCCGAGCAAATGCCCCCAGGAAGCCTGGGGCCCAGAAGCTTCGCCACTGCCCTGGCCACCAGTGTCCTGGGAGCACGGGTGCCCCCCAGCCTCCACGCCCTTTGCCGAGGGCCCCCCAGAAGGTTGCCTGGCAAGCCCCGGAGCAGCACCTGAAGACTGGCCCCCTATTCAACACCCCAGGAAGGAACCTTCCCCACATGCCCATGGGGATGCCCCAACAGCACGTGTCTCTGAAGGAGACAGTTCTACTCAATGCAACGTGGGTGCCATCGTCCCCAGTGCCCAGGAAAGAGGGGGAGACCTGAAGGAAGACGGACATAAATTGTCTTCCTCCAGTTGCACTGACCAGTTGCCAGCAATGTCACCAGCACCCCCTCAAGAGCTGATGAAGGGACAGCTGTGCGGAAAAGATGGCCAGCCTGGTGGCTTCGAGTCCCGAGGGAAAGAGGCAGGTGGCCTTCCCTTCATAGAGTGCAGGCAGGGGGCGGCTTCTGTACCAGTTGCCGCTCAGACAGACGAGGAGAGCTCAGCTGGCCTGGAGGAGCCCCCCACCAAACACGAGACCCTGACCCCAGAAGACCCAGCGCCCAGGGCCTTAGACAGAGAAATGTGCCAAGTGGAGGTAGGGCTTCAGACTTTAGCTGATGACTCAGGACTCCTCAGGGTCTGCCCTGCCACCGAAAGCAATTCAGGGGCTGCGCCCGAAGCTGGCACAGGTTCCCGGGAAAGCTGCCAGCAGCAAATGGGAGCACGTCTGGCACACACAGAGCTGCCCAGGGCTCCATCGAGTCCCGCCCTGGCTCCCGGACCCCAGGACTCTGGGAAGGAGGCCGTGGATGCCAGTGGCGCTCAGGGTCCCTTGCAGACAGAGGGCCAGGGAAGCAATCCCAGTAGAGGCAACCTGCTCTCAGGGGCTTCGCTTGTGAGCGCAGAGCCTTCCCCACCGGCCCCGACAGAAGAAGTACGTCCACCTTCAGGCTCCACTGGGCAGCCAGCTGCTGGGGCCGGTGCTGCTGCAGAAGAGCCCAGCTGGCCCACCAGAGAGGTGGTTTCCGGGGCTGCAATGCCAGTTCTTATGGGTCCGGCCAGAGGGCCGGCAGACATGGGGGTGGCAGGATGGGGGAAGCACGCAGCAGGTCTCAGAAATGAGGGAGAAGGTCTAGAAGGGAGCCCTGCAGAGGGTCTTGAACCTCGGCCCCAGGAAGACAGGGGAGAGCTTTCAATGAGGGACCATGAAGTCCAACAAGGGGTACCGCCCCCTGCCCCACCCTGTGCATCAGGTGAAAGTGCCAGAAGCTCACCGGGGCCAAAGGATGAAGCCATGACCCCTGAAAGCCCATCAGAAGCTGAGGAAGAGAGCAGACCACCTGGGGCCAAACCCAGGGGACAGAAAGAGGTCCCAGAGCCACTTGACAGCAGAGCTCCTGAGAGCTCACCGGGAGAGCCCCTCGGGGTCTTCAGCTACCAGTCTGACTCAGAGGCAGAAAAAGACGAGGTTTCCGAGCAGAGCCATGACACAGAGAGCACTGTGCATTCTGGCACGGACTCAGCACAGCCCCTCAAGAAGGAGGGTCCTGGTCCCACCGGCAGGCCTGGCTCTCCATCGAAAGAGGCAGCTTGGAGCTCGGCGGCCTGCGGGGTGATGGGGGAGGCCCGTGTGGCCTGGGCCTCTGGCTCACAGCACAAGCTCCCTGCGATGGGTCTCCTCCTGCCACCTGCGCCAGACGGAAGTGGTGAGCACATTCTTCCCGAAGAAGCCGTCCGGGAGGGGCCGGAGCTGCAGACTCAGTGTCCTGACACCCTTCAGGACACTGGGGGATTGGAAAGAATGGACCGTCTTCCTGCTTTAGAATCTGAGAGAGCAGATTTCCTGTCAGCTCATGCTGCAGAGGTCAGCCCCAAGGCCCAGGAGGCCGAGAACATATCAGAGACAGAGATGAGGCGCCCCCCGTCTGTGCCAGGGCCCGGCAGCTGTGACGGGGATGGCTTGCTGACATTGCCAGGCCAGCCTGGTGGGCTGGGGCATGAGGCGGCTGGTCAGGAAGTCCATGCTGATGGGGACTTGGGCAGTGGGGAGAATTTGGCCATGCACCCTGGGCTCCCGATGCTCAGCCTGGAGCAAGATCGGCAGGGAAAGCCGCCCTGCCTGGGGGACCACCGGGCACAGGGGGCTGCTTCTGAGAGGCCCTCAGCATCTTCTGAGAACCCTCTCCAGCCACTGCAGGCAGACCCAGAAGCGTCCATCGGGGACATGTCCCGGGAGAAGCCCCAGCACTGTGAACACGAGGAGGACACTTACCCAGGGGGTCTAGGCGTTACGAACACAGGCTCAGATGCTCCTCAAAGACCTGTGAGGCCTCTGGAGGATGCGTGCTTGCCCACTCAGGGCACAGAGGAGCAAGCTTCCAGAACAGGGCTTCAGGCTGCGCTCCCCAAAGACAGTCTGGCTGCTGCCCCAAGTTCAGCTCCCAAGGACACAGTTCCAGAACGTCCTGCCACCCAGCAGCCGGAGCCAACGGCCCCCGTAGGACCGGAGCTGCCAGCGCTGGGGCAGAATGAGCCAGAGGAAGCAGGCAGCGGCCCGCCCTCCGGGCCCCCCCTTCCCGCGGCAGACACCTCGAAGGACCCTCGCCCCGCAGATGTCTTGAGCGGATCGGAGACCTTCTGTGCCACGCAGGGGCCGAGCGAGTTCCGGCAGGAACCGGCAGGTGTGTCCAAAGCCAGCAGTCGGCGTGAAGAAGCTTGTCTCCGTGATGCAGGAGTTTCAGAAGCGGCCGACGCTCAGCCCCCGCTCCAGGGCTTGGGTAAGACGGAGAAGGCAAGTGGGAACACAGCGGGGACCCCACCTCGTGGGCCTGACTCAGGCGCTCTCCTGGACGCAGCTCACGGGACGCCGGCCCCAGCGCCCGCCAGCCTCGGGGTCACACCCACCCAGGATGCCCCAGACAGAGAGGCGTGGGGTGAAAGCCAGGGAGCCAGGCAGCGACCGGCGCCGGCCGCGCCGAAGGACATGGAGCAGCCCACGGCCCTGGATGCAGAGGCCCAGGGGCCTCTTGGAAGTTGCCCAGCGGCCCAGGGTCGAGGTGCTGATGAGGGCGCTGCTGAGGCCGGTGGGCACGCTGAGGAAGGAGACCTGGGGGAGCAGCGGGCACTGGAGGGGTCAGCGGGAGCTGCTGCGTGGGGCGGCTTCCTTCATTCTGAGCAGGGCGCCTCCCCCGGGAAGGAAGCTTCTACCTTTGCCCCCGGGGGGCCCTACCAAGCAGAGTTGTGTCTGGCCAGCTGCCAGGATGCGTTGCTACCGGCCAGAGAGCTGGGCTTGATTCCCAGCAGCAAGGTGGATACTTCTGCAGCACAGGCTGTCCCCAGCCCAAAGAGCCACCTACTACTGGGGCCACCAGAAGAGGCCTCCCCGGACACCCCCTACCTGGATCTTGCTGGTGCTGCTGGGAAAGGGGCAGACCCTTGTCTCATGGAAGAGCCTCTGCCTGCCCTGGAGCATGCTACCCCCATGAAGATTTCTGCCGGCTTGCTGGCCTCTCTCTCACCACCAGGAGCTGCCGGTGGGAAAATCTCTGTGGCACAAGCCAGCAGTGGAAGCTCCAAAGCTGGAAGCTTTGAGGGACCTGTGGGCTCTGTCCCCTACCTGGACAGGATGCCACTTCTGACCGAGAGTGAGCAGATGATAGGGGAGGAGGGGGCGAGAGCGCCCGGTGCAGGGACCCAGCCGGGGGAGATGCCAGCGTGCTCTGCCAGTGAGGGAAGCATGGCAGGTGATGATGCCCTAAGGGAGATGGAGGGCAGCGGGGAGAGGATGGTGGAACCTTCTAAGGATCCCAGGAGAGGCACCTCAGGTGGTGTGGATGCAAGCTCTAAGACGGGCATGGGCGTGATCGCTGGGCTCCCTGACTTCAGGGAGCACATCACCAAGATCTTTGAGAAGTCTGTGCTCAGAGCCGTGACTGCGGATCGGCCCCAGAGTGCAGCAGGGGAAAAGGGGGGGTCCGAGGGGAGTGTGCAGGGCAAGGACCTCGCGGGGTCCTCTCCAGACGAGACTCAAGGAGCAGCCATCGCCCCTCCCCCTGCCCTGCCCGCTGGACTTAGGATGGGCACAAGGGAAAAGATGCACGAGCTGTCTATGGAGGCTGAGATCCCTTGTCTGGCGCCCCAGGAGCCCGGCCCAGGAAAGCTGCCGGGTCTGGCGGCCCCAGTCGCAGCGCAGAACCTGCCAGGTGCCAGCGTGGGACAGGAAACGACTGGTGTCCTACGGATGGTGCAGGACAGTGAGAAGCCAGAGAGGGCTGCGGAGTTTGAGCCGGGGCCTGGGGGCCAGCCCCCCTCACAGCAGGGCGGGGGCCAGCGGGAATCAGCTTCGGGTCTCTCCTCTCCAGCAGCTGTATCGTGCACGCCCATGGGAAAAGCTGCTGACTTCCAGGTGGCTCCCCAGAGCCACGGAGAAGGGGCCTCAGCTCCAGAAGACAGAAATCCCCCTGGAATGTACCACCAGGAAGCCTCCACGGGCGACAGTCAACCCAGAGAGGATGACAGTGCCTGGGGCTGTGCTCACACAGGGGGTCCCAGTGCCATGCCAGTGTTCACCTGTGCCCTGGGAACACCTTCTCCCCGTGGGGCTGTTCCGCTTGTGGCTGCAGCCATCAGTGCACCCTGGACCCCCAACACACCTGGGGCTGAGCAGAGGCATGGAGGTGATGCTGGGATCTCGAGAAACTCCCCAGGCCAGGAGCGGGCCCCAGAGCCACAGGCTGGGGAAGTCGCAGCCACTCCCCTGGAGCCCAGCTCGGCGGCAGGAGCTGCTGGCGAGGCAGAGGGTGACGTCACTCTGAGCCCAGCTGAGACCAGGGCATGGGTGTCTGCTGACCCGCCTGAGACAGGTACTACAAGGATGTCCTCGGGTGCTGCTCCTGGGCCAGTGTGGCCAGGGATGGGCGGGGCCCCAGGCTGCTCTGATGGGGCCCCGGGCACGGAGGAGAGCCTGTCGGTGCACCAGCTGGCAGAGGAGCAGCCAGGCCCTGCGCCCCCTACTCCTGCCGGGGGTGGCAAGCTGCCAGTCTCATCACCTCCAGCGCCTGACGGACCTCAGGACCCACTGCTGCAAAACCTGGCCCCAGGAGCGCTCCACACCGAAAGGTATAGACCAGGCCAAACACCAAGGGGAACACGGGGCCAGCGTCACAAGTGATTCCCATCCTGGGTTTTTAAGAGTCAGTGAATTAGATGGGTTTTTTTTTTTTTTTTAAAAAGCTAAGTTGTCCGTACCTAACTGTTGAAATTGACCAGCTTGCCACCTCTGAGTGTGCAGAGTCTCAAAAATGTGAGCAAAATGCTGGAAGCGGCAAGCGGTTTGTTCGGCGTGTCCTTCCATTCGCTTAACGAAAACTGTCTGAAAAGCGTGGAGTGTTTACTGGTTGGCGGCACGCTCTTGGGTCAGATGTTAGAGTCAATCGTATGTTTTCCTGGTGCCCAGATACATTTGCTTTTGAATCTGGATTTATTTATACAGAGAGGCCCAAATAATCCAAAGGCATCTCAAAGCCGCTGACTGCCGGAAGGTGATTTTGTCTAGGGATTTGGGGGTGGTACCCATTTAAAGCTTTAACTGGGAAGTGGGCTTTTTTCAGTAGGATGCAGAGACAAATTCTTAGCTTCTTATCATCTGTTGCTTTCTTTATGTTATCCCAGAAAGAGCCCCGAGACTGATCCATCGACGTCGCCTTCAGTTCCTGAGAAGGATGCCGGAAATGTCCTGGGCAACGTCGTTTCAGACGAGGCCAAAAGTGTGGGAGGAGCAGAAAGGTCAGTAAAAAGGTATCGGCCTTTGGAGAACCATGAGGCCTTCCTCTGGCAGAGACACCCTGGGTGTTTTGCAGAAGAGAGTTCTGCTGACACACAAGTCCTTATATAAGAAAGAAGCAAACAGCCTTTCCCACTCGTCATACGGGTGAGGCAGCGCCCAAGATGACTGAGGGCTCCATTGTTATAAAGGGGATGGAGTGAATTTCACATCTGAGTTTATCACCTTAAAAAAACAACAACAGCTTTATTGAGATGTAATTCACATGACATAGAGTATGCTCATTTGAACTGTACAATGTGGTGGCTTTTAGTAAATTCACAGTTGTGCACCATCACTACAGTCCATCTTAGAACATTGTCATCCTCCTCAAGAAACCCTGCATCCCTGAGACATCACGCCCCAGCCCCCCCAAGCCCTAGACAACCACTAATCTGGCGCATTGCCTTCTGAGGCCAATGGGCTCAACACTGATTTAATCTCCGAAGCAGGAATGTCTACTCACCAACCCCAGTCACAGTCCATAGAGATCTCGAGATTAGGAAGCAAGTGACAGGTGTCACTGTGAATCCCGGACCCTCACACTTGTGAGACATGCGTCTGCCGCTTCTTTCCTCACTGAAGTACCACCTGTGGCTGTAGAAGAGCAGCTGCTCAGAAGTTTGACCTTCCTGGGGAAATGTGAACATCCCTGGACCTTTGGCTGTTCTGGTGCTGTGTGTGTATGTGTGTGTGTGTGCGCGCGCGTGTGCATGTGTGTGTGCACGTGCGTGTGTGTGTGCGCGTGTGTATGTGCGTGTGTGTGTGTGCACACATGTGTGTGTGTGTGTGTGTGTAGCAGGGTGGACTTTAAATTCGTACCTGTGGCAACCCAGTTGCCTACCAAACAGCTGCAGGCATTTCATAAATGATTTGATTCATATTTTGCACGTGTGGAAAGAATGCACAATCACCTGTTTTTCGAGTCTGAGCACTTCCACCGACACCCAGCTGCCTTTCCTGCCCTATAAGGGCACCTCTTAAAATGCTGCGCCAGCGAGAAGCAGGCACGTGCTGCCCTGGGCAGATGCAAGTGTAATGTGTGCACTGGACACTTGTCTTTGCTGCTGACTAGCATATAATCGCCGCCACCCCCAGCCCTTACCAGTGTGTGTTTTTTATACTCTCATTTAAAGTGCAGGAGTAATCTCTAGCTAGGAAAATCCTCTCCCTCCCCACAAATGACATATTAGCGCCCTTCTCAATGGCCCTGGAGTCTTTATCACATTCTTGGAGAACTCAGGGCCAGGCATATGGTAGCTCAATAAATATTTCATGGTTCATTGTGGTAATCATTTAAACATTTAAAATCATAATTTCTAAATTAATATTAGAAAAGTATAAAGAATAAGAGAAAACTCTACAACCACACCACCTAATGATTACTGTTACTTGTTATTTTGTGTATTTTTAAAAAATATTTATTTACTTTTGAGAGAGAGAATGAACAGGGGAGAGGCAGAGAGAGAGAGAGACAGACAGACAGACAGAATCTGAAGCAGCCTCCAGGCTCTGATGAGCTGTCAGCACAAAGCCCAAGGCAGGGCTTGAACTCGCAAACCGCAAGATGTTGACCTGAGCCAAAGTCGGACGCTTAACCGACTGAGCCCCCCAGGCGCCCCTTATTCTGTGTATTTTTATTCACTCTTTTTTTTCTATTTAAACATATGTAGAGTGTTTTGCCCCCTGCCGTCAAAACTCTGCAAACATGTCTTGGCTGAAGTGGTATGACTTGATCACAGTTTATTGAGCACTAACATTTACGTGATGAGTAGTATTTCTGTTCCCATTGCTCTGATGGAGGGTCTGCAGGGTGGTAGACTCTTAGAATCTCTTAGAGGTGTACCATCTGACTTGACAGCCGTTTGTCACATGTGCATGGTAATGCGCTGTGAGTGTAAAATACAGACTGGTGGAGCGCCTGGGTGGCTCAGTCGGTTAAGCGTCTGACTTCGGCTCAGGTCATGATCTCACGGTTCATGATTCGAGCCCCACATCAATCAAGCTCTGCATTGACAGCTCAGAGCCTGGAGCCTGCTTTGGATTCTGTGTCTCCCTCTTTCTCTCTGCCCCTTCCCTGCTTGTGCTCTGTCTCTCTCTCTCTCTCTCAAAAACAAATAAACGTTAAAAAAATTAAAATACATACCAGATGTTGAAGATTTCACATGAAAAAAACCCCACAAGATACATCGCTAATAATTTTTATGTTAATATCTGTTAAGATAATAATATTTTTGATATATTGGGTTAGAATATATTATTACATTTCATTTGAGTATTTTTTTTTCCTATTTCTAATGTGGCTACCAAAACTTTTAAAATTACACGTGTGGCTTTTGCATCCTTGGCTTGCATGGGTGGCTCACCGTCTATTTCTGTTTAGATCATTTGGCTCCAGAACCTGTCTTATCCTTGTCCTTGTCCTTGAAGGAAATGAGGAGGAGGGCTGGCTTTTCCTGTACTTTGGGTTCTTGGGGAAAAGGCCTATCCCAATCTCATTGGCTGAGGATTTCCAGAAAGAATTGTGAATGGACTCTCTCCTCCATCCTGCTGGGTAGGGTGAACTCTGGTTCCCCTCCCTCGAGGGGGACCCGGGGGCAGCAACCTCTGAGCAAATAGTTTACGACAGATTCCAGCTTACACTTGGCAGAACCATCAGAGATTTCCAGAAGATAGAGACCAGCTCTTTCCAGCAGAATTAGGACACAAGCCACAAATGTAATCTTAAAGTTTCTACTAGCCACAGTCAAAACTAAAAAGAAACAAGTACCATGAGTTTCAATAATATATTTTATTTAACCCAATATATCACAAATATTACCATTCTAACATGTGATTGATATAAAGATGATTAATTTGATATTCTGCATTTTTGTTTTCATACTAAGTCTTTGAGAGCTGGTGTGTATTTTATTGCCACTGCACTCAGTGTGGACCAGCCACATTCCAAGTGTCCAACAGCCACGTTGGGGGTGGGGGCTGACCTACTGGACACCACGGCCCCTCCCGGAGCTCTGACACCTGTCGACAGTGATCCAGAAGTCCACACCTTCCCATGGGGACCCCATATGCCCACATTTCTCTGCCCAGCAACCTCGTTCCTATGAGGTGTTTTTTTTAAAGGTTATTTATTTATTTTGAGAGAGTATAGGGGAAGGGCAGAGAGAGGGAGAGAGAATCCCAAGTAGACTCTGCAGCAGCATTGGGGCTCGAACCCACAAACCCCGAGATCATGACCTGAGCCAAAATCAAGAGTCAGACACTCAACCGACTGAGCCACCCCTCATTCCTGCAGTTTTAACACAAATGTTGGAAACACTTCTTTGCCTTGAGGAAGAGGCTCAGTACCTTTGGTGAATCCTTTTGCCACGTGGGAGCCGTGCTGTGGACCTGGGCAGGCCTCAGAGAAAATTCCGCGAAGGGGGCGCACAGACTGGGACTAGAAGGTGTGGCCCGTGAAAGTGACATGCAGCAGTAGTCTGGGGCAAGTGGGGTGGCCACACTACAGCAGATGCTACCAGGAGCTGGGGTGGTGATAAAGGTCAGAGCAGGGGCCCCAGATTCACAGCCCAGCTCTGCTCCTTAGTTATATACATAGCCTCAGTTTTCCCATCTGTAGAAGGGGACGACAACAGTGATTCGTGGAGTTGCTGTGAGGGCTGAAATCATAGATTCCAGTGAAATACTTGTACATTCTGCTGCTCGGTGGCTGTCAGGTTCCCTGTCACCTTTCTCTGTGGGGTGGCTTTTCCTCGTGCAGTGAACCGAATGGCCCTCATGTCTTCCCATGCAACTGTTCTCCTCAAGTTGACATTCCAACCTGGCTGCCTTTCTTTTCTAGACTGAATTCCTTGTCTGCTAAGATATCGTACTGGCTGAACAGAGTGAATTCTTTCTTACCCCTACTGTGTAGCCCACAGGGATCTGCTTCAACTTGGAAGTTTGTGAGATTGCATTTTATTCCCAAAGATACTTCTGAGTATCTGTCACCGGGTGCCATATTGTATCATATTCCAATTAAAAATCTAATGTTCTGAGTTGTGATGGCAAGAGGAAGGCATATCAAAGCCAGATTTTCTACTCTTGTTGGTTACCAAGTGCCGTGCTTCTGTTGAATTTATTGGGTTTTGGAGATTCTGTAGTCTTGAACAGAGCTGATACTACGATCAGGTTCAGTATCTTAGAAATGTGTCTTTTCTGCTTCGGTGACAGTATAGTTTGATAACCCAACCCCATACACATGTAGATGTCAGGAGCACAGGCATGATTATTGCTTTATTTCCCACATTTTGAAGCCAAATTGGTGCTGCTGGTGGACGTGTCTTGGGTATCCTGTGGCTTTGCCACCACCCCACACCTGAGGGGTCCGTGTGCCCCCAGTTCTGAGCCACAGGAGTTGATTTCTACACTGTGTGGTCTCTGCCTGTGGGAGAGTGTGGGGCCCTCAGGCGGCCTCCCCTTATCTTTAGATTCTTCTGCAGAAGGTGCTTGACTTTGATTTCAACTTTGTACACATATGACTCTCCTCCTTGTGGCTGGAAAATCCTGAATTTGGCATTTTGATGACACACCACTGATGGTCAGGTATGTAGTTTTGGAAAACTAAATCCAACTATATCCAACTTGGAAAACTAAATCCAAAAATATCTTGGATATCACCGAGCTTGCTTTTTGCTGAATATTTATTTACAGGGGTCTTTTTCTTTTCCATTTGGGGGAAACAGTTGGAAAGCTATCATTTCCAATTATTTTAGTGCATGTTGAGAGAATTTAATTATTCCCAGATGCTCAGGGTCCTAGAGTAGACCTAGGCTAACCCGTGAAGGGCAGTTGGGTTGAAAAGTTGAGGGAGGTCAGGAGGGAGAGGGGAGGGAGACAGCTGGCATAGTGCCGAGGAAGTCCTAGCTGGCCTTGACAGTGGGCTTTGGATCATTTTTACCCTTCCTCCCACGTTGGCTTCCCA